TGACGCAATCACATTCCACCTGATGTGGCAAATGAACTACTTGAGGTCAAGAAGATTGGAGAAGAGGTTTACCAAAATTTCAAGACAGAATATCTGGAAACAAGAGTGCTACTTTTCTACGACACGATGACCAAGAAAAAACTGAAAACAAGCACTCATGATTGTGAAATGTAAAATTATTTTGTTTACCATAAAAATAACCTAAAATTATGCCTGAAAGTAATCATAATCTGCCTAAATAAATCAAAATATGTCATAAAATTAGCTCTTTGAAATCTGAAAATGCCAGAAATGAAATAAGCATCCTCTAAAACCACTCACATATTGTAGAAATTGACCATACAGTGCAAAATATCTGGTGAAAATGGACGATTAAGCTAATAATGCTAATTATGCTAATCATGCTAATTGCTCAACATATGCAAATTAGCATCCGGCAGTTTCTGTATGCTGGGGACCCATACTTCACATTTCTGCAATAAAACTTTGGTGTACTCAACATTTCCGGGTTCACCTAGTTGGCTACTAGACTATTTCATGATATTGGGGTATTACGGTTTGACGTGCTAAAACTCCCAAATTTAGCCATTTTTAGCCATTTATTTTGGAATGATTGCCTTTATCTCATTATTTCACTAATTTGGAACCTACTTTATTTGTGATGAATGAACCACTTGATGAATTATCAACTGGATGAACCAGATTATTTCCATGGAGGTACTTTTGCCATTTTTTCCGCTTACAGGGGTCAGTCACTTCAAGCGGTCATAACCACTACTAAGCTGCCAGTTGGCAAGGGTTATCATGTCAAAACATTATCTAGGGATGCATAGGATGTAAAAAATCGCAACTAGAATTTGCCCACCCAGATGGTACCAAGACGTGAAATTTGGGGTCTTGGCCCAAGAACTATTTACCAAGTTTCGTACCATTCCAATGAAGTAAAACATTCTAAAAATGTATAAATTAATTTCATTTATAACTATCATTATAGTTATCATTCTTGGTGTAAACGGGCCGGTGAAACCGATCAGGCGTGGTTTGAAACGAATGTTCCTATGCATCTTCTTGCAAGGAAAGGAAGGGCTATTTTGGCTCACTAATACGTGGCCTGTGTTTGTTCTGTTGAATCCGCTGGGAATGTGGGCGGCTTTTCTGATGGTTGCATGAGACTTTCTGAGCTTCATTAAACTGCCAATTTAGCCTCAGCAAACCTCCTTATGATCAATATGGCGAAACCTACTTGACTCCACACCTTCCAACGCCTCGTGTTCTTCATGCAAATCCTGATCATTATTTGCAAAAACAATTTAATGAAAGAAACAAAATCCGAAGAGACACAGCATGAGCAGATCTAACAACCTCATGCTTTTGGACTTCTTGCACCTGAGACTGACATACAGTGCTAATAAACTATAGTTTTAGTTTCGTTTGATTAGTTGAGAGCAAATAGCTTCTTAATGTGCATGCATACCGGTATTTGTTTTTTAGGCCACTGTAAGCAAGTAGGACAAGACCAGTTTATTTTCTTTAGTATAGAACATGTGAGATTAGAATGGGAAATGAAATGTCTCTGCATTTATAATGTCAGGAGCTTTAATGAAGTTGAACGTCTCGGCAGGAGGCAGTAATTACTTGATTATACCTTGACCTTGCAGTTCCAAGAACAAAAAGGTTAATCTGAAGACTATTTCTGTGTTTTACAATCAATTATGCTGGAGAGCATTGAAGTGAACTGCAACATTCAGATAGAATGTGTGTTTGAAATCAGATTGAACAGTTTTTATCAGCTAACAGGGAACATTCTGTCAAAGTTATGAGCAAACGTTCTTCCAGGAACATTAACAGAACATTTGTTCAAAGTTATCGGCACTCTAAAATCACTGGGTTAAAAACAACCCAATTTGGTTTGTTTTTAACCCAAGGGCTGGGTAAATATAGGACAGAACATATGTTGGGTTCATTTTACCCAGCAAATTGGGTTGTTTATTTAACCCAACATAATGGGTTGATTCAATCCATCATAATGGGTGGATTCCTTTTTACTAGCTTATATATGAATAACACTTGGTTGTTACGTCTGACCCAGGTGCTGGGTAACACAAAAACTAACCAAACACTGGGTTGTTACGTCTGACCCAGGAGCTGGGTAACACAAAAACTAACCAAACACTGGGTTGTTACGTCTGACCCAGGAGGTGGGTAGCACAAAAACTACCCAAACACTGGGTTGTTACATTTGACCCAGGTGCTGGGTAACACAAAAACTAACCAAACACTGGGTTGTTACGTCTGACCCAGGAGCTGGGTAACACAAAAACTAACCAAACACTTGGTTGTTACGTCTGACCCAGGAGCTGGGTAACACAAAAACTAACCAAACACTGGGTTGTTACGTCTGACCCAGGTGCTGGGTAACACAAAAACTACCCAAACACTGGGTTGTTACGTTTGACCCAGGTGCTGGGTAACACAAAAACTAACCAAACACTTGGTTGTTACGTCTGACCCAGGAGCTGGGTAACACAAAAACTAACCAAACACTGGGTTGTTACGTTTGACCCAGGTGCTGGGTAACACAAAAACTAACCAAACACTTGGTTGTTACGTCTGACCCAGGAGCTGGGTAACACAAAAACTAACCAAACACTTGGTTGTTACGTCTGACCCAGGATCTGGGTAACACAAAAACTAACCAAACACTGGGTTGTTACGTCTGACCCAGGAGCTGGGTAACACAAAAACTAACCAAACACTGGGTTGTTACGTCTGACCCAGGAGCTGGGTAACACAAAAACTAACCAAACACTGGGTTGTTACGTCTGACCCAGGAGCTGGGTAACACAAAAACTAACCAAACACTGGGTTGTTACGTCTGACCCAGGAGGTGGGTAACACAAAAACTACCCAAACACTGGGTTGTTACGTCTGACCCAGGAGCTGGGTAACACAAAAACTAACCAAACACTTGGTTGTTACGTCTGACCCAGGAGCTGGGTAACACAAAAACTACCCAAACACTGGGTTATTACGTCTGACCCAGGAGCTGGGTAACACAAAAACTAACCAAACACTTGGTTGTTACGTCTGAACCAGGAGCTGGGTAACACAAAAACTAACCAAACACTGGGTTGTTACGTCTGACCCAGGAGCTGGGTAACACAAAAACTAACCAAACACTGAAAAATAACCCAAAAAATTGACTCAAAAGGCTCAACCCAGGATTTGGGTAGAAAAAAAACCCAAGATTTTTTAGAGTGTGGTCTTTAATAATGTTCTCAAAACGTTATCAATCAACGTCATTAAATGTTACTTGTTTCAGAACATTCAGAGAACATTCATAACATTTAAAAAACGTTTTAAACATTCAGAACGTTTTGAACATTCAGAAAACATTCACAAATAACATTTTCATAACTGAAAGTCTAACTTTTGTTCATGCTGTGGATTCACATTTACACTAGATTGTGTTTCCACCAGATGCACAATATAAAACCGGGTGGAAAAAAGATAATAATAAAGGGAAGAAAATACACAACAGTAACAGATTTGAACAGGTTTTTCTATCAATAATAATCTATTTGGGCAGGTCAATCAAGTTCAGTATTACAGCACCAAGAGCTGATATTATATAACACAACATACAAGAGGTGAAAAAGCCTCAAATGTTGATTTAAAACGCTCATATCTCTCATATCTCTCGCTCTCATGCTGATATTAATAGACTTTTAAAATTGAGCTGTGTGCACAAAAGTCTTTCCTGCTGTCTTTAAACCCTTCGGAAATGTCAGGGAACACAGCTGGGGAATCAAAGATGAACATTTTTGAGAGATAAGAAGAAAAAAGCTGTATAAAACTAGAAGATTAAGAAGGAGAAAGGCGTTTAATATTTCATATGTCCATGATTGTGTGTGTGTGTGTGTGTGTGTGTGTGTGTGTGTGTGTGTGTGTATATATTCTCTCCAAAAAAGACATCAGCATACATGAGATGTTCTGATTCTGAATCAGGCAATAAAAAAAAAAGGGTTGTAATCTTTCACAGGTGTTGATGAAGAATCACCCACATACTGCACAGGTGCTTGGCAACAGATAATGACACTCAGATAATGACATGGGGCATAAACTAACCTTACAACATGTATTTCTCATACAACTTTCATTATGCTGTCTTTTTAATATGAACACATGTGTTCACATAGCCTACAGTCAAGTGATTCATTCTTTCAGTGTTTAGTTAATGTATTAAACAGAGGAATTAGCACAGTATTGCAACTCTTTTGAGGAATTCTACTCTATGTCGACCTAATTATGAATATGTGTGAATCAATTATATCTCGACAAAATTAAATATATGCTTTAATTATATTGGTTTTAGCATTCATGATCAACGCTTTATTTAATGTAATTATTGCGCAGTCAATTCTGTGGCAGTAATTATTAATCAGCGGGTCTAATCATTGCTCCACACATTAATTGCAGCATCTTAACAAAATGTGAAAATTGTCGTGACTTGTGAGTGATGTGTGAAAAAGTGAATCATTTCAGGGAGTCGACTCGCTTAGGTGGTTCATTTAAATGATTCGATTCGTTAGGTCATCACTCAGAAGTTTCCCTTTTTGTTTTGTTTCAAGTTACATAATTGAGAGTTTAATTGTATGTAACTTACCTCTTTATTAATTTACCCCAAACAAATTATGCCTTAGTTATGGTCAAGTATTTACACAAGGGCGTAGATTTGGTTTGAACATTGGGGGGGTTGAAGTTTGGGTAACGTTATGCCTCCTGATATTGTGATCATGGTATAAATAATGGGGGGGTTGTAATGCATAGATTTAAATATGGGGGGGGGGGGGGGTTATATCCCCCCCATCCCCCCCACAAATTACGCCCCTGTATTTACACACGGTTTGTAACTCGGTTCACACGAATCATTGAAAAGTACCGGCTCGTGAATCGGGCAGCAGAAGCGCGTGACAGGTGTGAGCTGAAGAGACGCTATCAGAGACACGCCATTATAATCGAGCTCTTTTTATCCTCATATTATTCCACTACTGGCTTTATTTCACCCGTTGAGCTGTAGGACAGAAAGGTAAGACTTTGTGACTCGCATCAACCGTTAAAACAAAAATGTTATCAAGTATTTAAGCTACTTTGATCAGTTCCTGCACCTGAGGTGAAGTTCTCTCATTCAGAATCACTGCAGCTTCATCGCGCTTTTTTGTCATCATGCGCGGGATAAAGCGATCTTCACGGCTGAATAATGTGGAAAATTGTTTTGATATAAAGATATTAACATGTCCTAGACATGAATATATTCTTATCCGAACTAAAATATGAGAGATTTGCGCTTTGGGGCAAGTTGTCACATTTTTTCTCTAGTGAATAACGTTAACGTTATTTCTGAGTGAGTTTTACATATTATGTACTAACATTTCTGTAGATACAGCTATCTAAAAGCTATTTCCACGGTTGTTGCCCTGGAAAAAAACTAAATATTGACATTCGTTAAGAGATTTTGGGGCATGTTGTCACAACAATTATGTTTTTTTCCCCTTTTTTTTCTCAGCAAATCTTACAGTAAAGCAATTCATGAAACAGTAAAATTGGGAACATGTACTTTGAAAAGTATCAAACCATTGTTTTGGCCAACATAAATTGTACAATGACAAATTATGACATGAACACTTGTGACAACTTGCCCCAATTATACAATTAATACAATTTTGAGCAATATAAAAGCTTGATTTGATTGTTTACCTGATGCCCAAAAGCTTCATATTTAGTTTGGAGGCCAGAATTCACAAAAATCACTCTAATGTAAGACAGTTTTAAATTAGTTGTTTGAAACCAGCTAGAGAAAAGAAACATAATTGGACTTTTGATTCAAAACCTTATACTTGCTGAGATATAGTCATAGAGTAGAGCTGTGTGTCCTTATGGCAAGCCGTTTTGACTCTTATTCTATTATTGATATCAACAATTCAATATTCAACATAATTTTTGATATCAGAAATTAGATTTTTACTTGTAACAATAGCATTTTTTGATGTCAGGAATAAAATTTCCGCTAGTAAAAATGTTAATTCTTGATATCTACAATGACGTCAGAAATACAAATTCTTGACACAAAGAATTGAATTTCACCTTGGAAAAACTATACTTCTTGATATCCGTAATTGTATTTCCACTAATTAAATGTGACCATAGGCTGTTATTCAAATTCGATTGTTGATATCAAGAATTTATTTCTTTTTAGTTAAAATTCTGATTTCACATATCAGAAATACAATTCTTACTAGTTAAAACCTTTATTTTTGATATCAATAATTGTCTGTTCTTGATCTCGTACAAGTCAAAATATACAAGACATTAAAAGTCAAAATTATGACAAAAATCGTAATTATGATTTTTTTTAATGTCATTATTTCGACTTTTTCGTCATAATTTTGACCTAGTATGTCATAATGTTGATTTATGTCAAAATTATGATTTACCAAAGCATGATTTTTTCTTATGTGGTGGACGTATAGTTTATTCATTGTTTTATTAAGTTATTGTTGGAAACAAGTGCTAAAAGCTGCTCAATCAGTAAAGTTAACTGGGTTTCTAAGTTTTCACTGTGTTTTACTGCTGAATGTCACTAGCATCAGAAGGAATTTCATGTGTGTGTTTTCCCAGGATTTCTGTGCATCCATGGAGGGATTATGGGATGCCGGCTCCGTCTGCATCCTCTCGGATCTCGTCTCCTGCCCGAACCTGACCAACAGCACCAACTCCAGCACAGCCGAGGGCTTCATCTTGTCTCCTTATTACCAGCATTCCCTGCCGACGGCCACGCTGTTCACGCTGGCGTATCTCTTCATCTTCCTGCTGTGCCTGATGGGAAACGGTCTGGTCTGTGCGATAGTCCTGAGGACCCGGCGCATGAGAACCGTGACTAACATCTTCATCCTGAATCTGGCCGTCAGCGACCTACTGATCGGGATCTTCTGCATTCCCACCACGTTAGTGGACAACCTCATCACAGGTGACAGATTAACGTGGAGATTGTAAAATGTCTGAAATGTAAACAATATTCGCATAATGTGAAAATATAAAAGTCCCTCCAGCGGGAGTTATTCTCTATAGAAACAGAGCGACACGCGTCATGATCTGAAAGCCACACCGGGGAACGAACCGACCGCCTCCGTTGACTCTGTATTGTGTGAAGCTGCATCCTGGTCATTTCTGACTTAGGGGTGGGCGCTATACCGGTATGAACGTGACTACCGGTATTATGTTGTACCATGATATGGATTTTGCGATACCGAGAATACCGTTAGATATTCATAAATTCAAATTTTGTAGTTATATTGTTTTGTTCAATTTGGTACTCTTTACAACGTTAAAATAACACTACTAATGACGATACGAAAACGAGGCTGAACTTAACCTTTTCCTCTTGTGTCCAACTCGCGTGATGCACAGGCATAATCAAACACTGAGAGCATGGTAAGAGTCCAGTGTTTCCCACCACACACAGACTAATTCATGGCGGTGCGCCACAGAATCAACACCGGCCGCCACATAATGCGTTTCGTTATTATTATTATAATTTTTACGCTATTTAAAACACGCAGTGTATTCGTTCTCTGTCACTGTGACAGTGTGTCACTCCGTCTTGTCACACACGCGCCTCTCGCACACACACACACACACACACACACACACACACAGCGTCTGTTTATGAGGCGCCGGACGGGATAAAAGCGAAGCGAACTCCGCGATCGACAGCGAGAGAGACCACGTGTGTCCGAGCATTAGTAAATTGATACATAGTAATATATAATTACTATATAAGAGGTATGGAAGTTCGATAAATGGACAACAATATATATAAAAACAACAATTAAATTCTCACCACTGAATTAGCAGGATGTAGCCTACTTCTCTCTTTTGGTCAGTATACAAAAACTTCTCGGTTAACATAATGTTGTCTTCAATTAGGCCTAAGTGTCAAACCTCTCTGAAATCACACTATTTCATATGTATTGATTATAACGTATTCAATAAACCAAACTCCAGTGTTACTCATCTTACGAATTATTAACGAAGGAATTATTTGACCCCCGCAAAATAAAAAGTGGAAAGAGATAACTAGTGAATTCAGGCCTACCTCATGTTGCACGTTTGCACTTTTTGAGAAAAACAATGGCACAATAAAAAAAGATTTTTCAGGTCTATGTCCAATTAAATCCCTCACCTTTTTCTAGTAATAGGGTTAAAATACATATTTTGCCTGTTATTTAACTAAGGTGTACTAAAATGTGATTCCAATTTTTTTCTTCTCATATCGCAATATAATATCGATATCGTCCGGACAGTGAAAAATATCGTGATATGAATTTTCGCTCATATCACCCACCCCTATTCTGACTTATAACAAAGAACAAAACAATGTCTGACAGGGTGGCCGCGGGTCCTTAAAAAGTCTTAAAATGTCTTAAAGTTTTCCTAATAAAAGGCCTTAAAAAGTATTAAAATGTCTTAAATTCAGATTCGATGGGTCTTAAATATTTCTGGTCACATTACCGCTAACATTTCTCCAGTGTGACGGACCCAATGTCCGTCAAATAACCAGTGAAGCATCGAAGCGCGAAAATTCACGTTTATTTTTACGTTTCTGTCAATCTGAGGTGACGTTGTTGCCGCAACGCGTTGCTATGGGTTGCGTCACTTGCGTCAAGTTGCGTGTCTTGCTTCGGACGAGGGTCTAAAACTCTGGAGTAATGTATGGACGGCAGGCGTAACCGTAGCAAAAGTTATGTGTTTTAAAATGACAATGCACTAGTGTAAACATAGGTATTCCACAGTCTGCTCGGGAACTGATGTTCTCGAGCCAAATATAGTTATTTCAGTGAGTATATTGCTCGACGGCAGGAAGGAATGAACAAAACATTTTTTTTTTTTTCAATAATAAGGTAGTGCGTCAATTCAATTAAAAATATTACAGAATTCATTGAAGCCTGTTTGTAATGTATAATACACCGACCAATCGTTATCTGGCACAAGAAGTTAAAAATTTCATTAGACAATGTGAAGTGGAGCGGTAATTTTCCAGTCATTCATAAATCGTTTGAAAATTAGATGGACAAACGAATTAACATTTATTAAGTGATCTGAATTAAACAATGGATGTTAATTGACTACAAAGCACTGCACAAAACCAGCACCAAAAGTCACATTACTGGTAAGTAGCATTAAAGTCACTTTTATTTAGTCTATGTATATTGATGCATCGTTTACCATTTAATCAAACTATCATAGTTGGTTAAATGAAACCCAGGCGCAACCTACAGGCCTATTGTGTGTAGTCTCTTATGTGATCAAGCCTGCATTTATTTGATCAAAAATACAGAAAAATATTATTACCATTTAAAATGTTTTTCTATTTTAATATACTTTAAAAATATCATTTATTTATGTGATACAAAGCTGGATTTTCAACAGCCATAACTCCAGTCTTCAGTGTCACATGATTTTTCAGAATGTCAGAAACAGTTGTTTTTTTAACCTGTGATACTTTTTTCAGGATTCATTGATGAATAAAAAGTTTAAAAGAACAGTATTTAATTAAAATAGAAAGTCTTTACTGTCACTTTTGATCAATTTAGCACATATCAAAAAATAGCCCATTATTTATTTTAATTTTTTACAAGAAAAAAAATATTACTGACCCCAAACTTTTGAACGGTCGTGTATATTGGTACAAAATATTTCTATTTTAAATAAATTGTTCTTTTTTTTAACTCAGAATCCTGAAAAAAGTATCAAAGGTTATAAGTATATTATAATAGTAGTTATATATTATAAATTGTGGAAATATTTCACAATATTACAGTTTTTTCTGTATTTTAGATAAAATAAATGCAGCCTTGATGAGCATAAAAGGCTTCTTTCAAAAACATTAAAAATAGTAGTGTCCAAACTTTTGGCCGGTACATATTATATATATATATATATATATATATATATATACACACATATATATACTGTATATATATATATATATATATATATATATATATATGCCCCTTTTTACATGTGAGCCCCTGCCCCTGAGGAACTCTCTGCACGTCCCTGATAAACAGCAATTGATAATGTATTTCTGGTAGCGCTGTTGAGACTCGCTGCCTGTCTCTGTGAGAGATTTTATAGTGAGAAATCAAAACAAATGAGCATAACAGCACACATAAAAAAACTCACAGAAGATAAAACATACTACAGTAAAAACTCAAAATGTTTAGTTTTTTGTTTATAACATATCATATAGTTAAGTAACATAACATGACGGGAGCTATTTTGCTGAATCTTCTCACGATTACAAATGTTACATTGATTCATATTGATTCATACATTGAAGCAGTTCATATTAAATTACTTCAATTACTTAGGTTAAACATTAAATATTACATATACGCATGTAATAGAATGTGTATTTTCATCACAGGTTTGGTCTTAAATTTTATTGAAGGTGGCATTAAAAAGGTCTTAAAAAGTCTTAAATTTAACTTGTTTATATCTGTAGACACCCTGGTCTGAAAGCTGCTGTGTGGCAGGTGTACAGCAAACTAGCTAAAACAAAAACAGGAATAAGTGTTTATAAGCTGTCGACCCCAAAAACAAGCGTTTAAAGACACAAAAGTGGATAATGGCTGGAGCGAATGGGTAAACTGGGATCCTGACACTCGGTGTGCTCTGGAAATACACGACGTGTGCAGACACATTTAGTCACTGCTAAGTCAAATATTCAATTCAATTCACATTTATTTGTACAGCGCTTTTCACAACACACATCATTTCAAAGCAGCTTTACAGGAAATGTCCATATTACAGTGTACAGTGATCTGCTATCAGAGGAGACTGTCTGAGTTATGTGTTTCAGAAATGTACATATACAAAGTCACGGTTAGCTAAAGATGTATTAATTTAAACAATGTAATAATTTAACCCTTTAGGTGCCAGAGGTTTTTTCCTAAAACGTTCGATTTTGACATCTTAATTTCAAAAGGCTATATCTTAAAAGTGATAAAAGATAGAGACTTTCTGTAAATTAGAGAAATATTAAGGATGACCCAAAGTTTATGTAGGGATTACATTTTCCCATCTAATTTGCATATTATGACGTCATATGGTGGCGGGAATCTTGAATTATAGAATTTTCATGAAAAGTCACATGTTTTAATGATAAAATGCAGCACTTCTTTCCCCCCAAAATGTCCATCACCTGCTGTATGCTATATTGCACAATACTGAATGCTCAGGTATATAGTAAGTAGTAAACAAACTGTGTAAATCATTACTAATAAATGGTAGAAACAAACCGAATGCATGTAGTGGTTGCCTTTTGCTGTAGAGATTTTCCATTTTACTAAATACAGTAGGCACTCTGATTCCATGTATGGGGCACATATATATTATTCATATGACATACAAACACAAGTAGACAAGACCTGTTTAGTTCAAACGCTCACTCGCCACGGCAAGGCACAGGTCATGAGTGAGATGACACGAGCAGCGCGGCCAGATCGAGTGTGCACAGCTCAGACTGCTGTCATTGTCATTGCGACTCCTCACCCTGCCTCCACGTCGCCCCCTAACTGTCCTATGAATACTTTGACCTCATCTAACATACCCAGTGGCATTAGATAAAGTCTCCACCACAATACTGTCTCCGCGATCGCGGAGAGGCTCTGATAACATGGCTCACTCGCACACCAGCTCCGCTTTTGATCTCACTGATTCAATGCGATACAAAAACTCGAACATTTTGTATAGAAGCATGACGTTTTTTTGATTCGGGGATGAAGTATGACATGTCTGCCATCCAGTGGAGGGGAGGTCGAATGAAATTTGACACCCAATTTGACAAAATCGGCCGTTTTATTCAGTGCCGCGTCTTGTCGAGCGTGGCGCCTAGAGGGTTAAGAGATATAATGAGCTCATTGAAGTAATGAATACTTGTTTGTTGGATATTTAGATAAATATCCAAATGTCAGTTTTATATATTATATTTCTGTAAGCTAAGCTATCCTGTCGCCGATTACGTGAGTTCTCAGAGTAATATATCACGTTGCTCTGTCTCACTCTGGCCTGTATCCACCTTTGTGTCTTTAAACGCTCGTTTTTTTGGGGGTCGACAGCTTATAAACACTTATTTCTGTTTTTTTTAGCTTGTCTGCTGTACACCTGTCACACAGCAGCTTTTCCCAAACACACTCGACGCGCTCGACCAGTCACAACACACTGCTCCAGGCGACCAATCAGAGCACAGTGTGCTTTTCAGAAGGAGGGGCTTCATAGAGACAGGAAGTAAACAGAGCGTTACTGACAGACTGGGAAGAGAGGAGCCGCAACAATGGAGAATATGAGGAGAATAATCAACATTCAAGCAGGAAAACCTGTTCTAGTAGAGCCTGAACACAAGACTTTGTAAAAGGGCAGAATATAGCCTCTTTAATCCTCTCGCATATCCCTAATATGCACCAGTATGCAGTGGGATATTTTGCTAATAAAATTGTGCCAGAAGAATAGCATAAGAGATTTGGTCTCTCTGCATCATCTCAGGGAACTTTTATTATTTTTTAGATATGTGCAGTAAGATGATTTAAACATTTGTTGTTGTTTCTGTGCAAAAACTCTTCAAATGTATCCGGATTAATGCAACTTTCTAGATACAACCTTGTTATGTCTTCGTCAGGTTGGCCTTTCAGCAACACGATATGCAAGCTGAGTGGCCTGGTACAGGGAACGTCCGTCTGTGCCTCAGTCTTCACACTAGTTGCTATCGCTGTGGACAGGTAAGTGTTAATAACTTTGAGAGTCAATTTAAATCAAATAACCATTGAAGGGAAACAATAGAGCAGTGGCATTGTGTCAGGTATTGCTCATAACTGCCGCTAATCAGCAGATTGTTAAAGCTGATTGAAATGTAGCCTCGTGAAATGCAGTGGTGAATAGATTACAGGTTTTCTCAGTCGCTTTGGTACATTTCTCAGATCAGAATTGAAATTCTCAAAACTACCCGTTCAATCTTCACATCATCAGTCACTCGTGCACATCAAAACATCAGTTTCTCATTTCTTTGAACAAGTTGCAAATGCTTTGGTACATCCATGGAAATGATTATGTACAATTCTCTGCTGTTTCCTACATTATCAGTTGCTTATGTCATGTTGATCAACATGTATTATAATGGGTCTCTGATGAATAGTCTCATCGCCCACAACATTAGGCATTAGTTCATAGTAGGGCTGTCACTTTTGTGAAAAAATCCTGTTTGATTTTTGAGACACAAGTGTTCATTGAATCGATTGTAAAATCGGTTTTCCATGTCTAAAGACTAGGGCTGTCACTTTACGTTCGAAAATCGATTGCACAATCGATCGGACCTACCAACAAAAGTTTCGAAAATGAAAATAGGGAATCGGTTTTAACTGCCTTTTTTTTTTTTTTTTTTTTTTTTTTTTTTTTTTAACCAAAAATGTGTTTTAGTTGGACAGATCAGTACAGGACACAGAACATGTCGGATGCTGGAAAATAACAATGTCTTTTCTGTTAACCAAATGCTTTTTAATATTTGCTATTACTTCAGTGCAAGTGAACAAGTTATTTGTTGCGTAGTGATGTGTGTGTGTGTGTGTGTGTGTGTTCAAGTGAGCCAGATATGCGCAGATTATGCGCAATACGCTGTATTTAATATATCATGAGGATCACGAGTTGCGTATTTGCGCTAAATCCACGCAGATTTGTCTTACACGAACTTCCCCAGCAAAGTGAGCAAACACAGAAACACGCCAAATTGACTCGTGATTTGACAGCATTACCCGCCAAAGCTCATTTTTATCGGAATTTGGCGGGTGTCAATTTAAATCCCTGAATGTTGCGCTCCTGTTTGTCATTGTGCAGAAACTTCACGCCAATAAATCATCAGGAATATTGCTGACTTGTGCGTCTCAAGCGCCTCTTTACGCTCGTCCTAACGCCTGTTAGGTGTCCGTGCATTTGCCTGTATTTGGTGTTGAAAATGGAAACGTCTTTAGACATGGAAAACTGATTTTACAATCGATTCAATGAACACTTGTGTCTCAAAAATCAAACAGGATTTTTTCACAAAAGTGACAGCCCTACTAAAGACGTTTCCATTTTCAACACCAAATACAGGCAAATCCACGGACACCTAACAGGCGTTAGGACGAGCGTAAAGAGGCATTTGAGACGCACAAGTCAGCAATATTCCTGATGATTTATTGGCGTGAAGTTTCAGCACAATGACAAACAGGAGCGCAACATTCAGGGATTGAGATTAACAAATGCGGTACAAATGAACTTTGGCGGGAAACGCTGTCGAATCACGAGCCAATCTGGCGTTTCTGTGTTTACTCACTTTGCTGGGGAAGTTCGTGTAAGACAAATCTGCGCGGATTCAGCGCAAATACGCAACTCGTGATCCTCATGATATATTAAATACAGCATTTCTGGCTTACTTGAACACACACACACACACACACACACACACACACGTCACTACGCAACAAATAACGGCGCGCTTGTTCACTTGTATTAAAGTAAAGCGAATATTAAAAAGCATTTGGTGAACAGAAAAGACATTGTTATTTTCCAGGATCCGGCATGTTCTGTGTCCTGTACTGATCTGTCCATCTAAAACACATTTTTGGTTAAAAAAAAAAGGCCGTTAAAACAGATTCCCTATTTTCGTTTTCGAAACTTGTGTTGGTTGGTCTGAGCGATTGTGCAATCGATTTTTGAACGTAAAGTGACAGCCCTAGTTCATAGCATAAGTCTTTACATGCAAAATGGTTAAACAAGTTGTCATAATCAAGCATATTTCTTTTTTTTTTATATATTCTTTTTATTAAACATTTTAGTTATTTCAAACAAAACATACTAAAACAAGAACACAGCACAGAAAATGATATAAATAACCATATCTATGGGCATGTGAGCAATTTCCATTTTACATACAGCATCTCGTCATATGGTTGTACATACATTATATCCATTTTGTGTTTACGACCTTTTAATCTTCAGACACTTTAAAATATTCTCCCATTTTTTAAACAGGTGCAATTTACCATTGAGACAATACCTCAATCTTTCTAGAGTTACAACTTCAGATATCAGAGACTTCCACATCTGAGTAGAGGGGGCGTCGCTACCAACCCATTTGTTCATTATAGCCTTTCGAGCCAGCATCAGGAGAAACTGAACAGTCTCTTTGTGAGCTCTCAGATGGTCAGGTATAAGCCCCAGTAGGCACATGAGTGGGCTGAGTGGGGCTGTCTGTCCTATCACCAAACTGATTTCACTGCATACTGCCTGCCAAAATACCTTGATGTTCTTGCACTCCCAAAGACAGTGATATCTAGTGCCTTTAGCTAAGTTACATTTAGGACAATTCGGAGAAACACCTGGAGTGTACTTACTGTATATATAAGGTGATATGTAAACATTATGTAGAATATTGAACTGCATTTCTTTGTATCTATTACAGATTGATATTCTAGAGGGCAGTATTACTATTTCCTCCCACGACTCAGAGTCAATTGACACTTTAAGCAGCATATTCCAAGTTGTTCGTAAGTGTTTCAGCTTGTCTACCGTTAGATTCTGTAACTCAGAATAGAATCTAGACACAAAACGTCCACGTTTCCGACAGTCCAGTAGAGTTTTTTCAAGCAAGTAACAGTTCGTTGGTAGCTCCAGAGATCCAGTCTTTGATTTTACGTAATGCCTGATCTGGAGATACTTGTAGAAATTGTTGGCAGGTATATTATATTGAGATCTTATATCTTCAAATGTCTTGAATTTACCTTTGTCCCACAAATCATACATTCTCCTAATACCAGCTTCTTGCCATGACTTGAGATTGAGACCAGCGCCCCCTTCTGATAAATCTGGGGTATCTACCAGAATTGCAAGAAAGTTAAAAGCCTTGGACTTCCCAAATATTTTCTTCAAAATACTCCATGTCTTGATAACATTATTAATTAGGTAATTGTCTTTAACAGCAGGAGGCAGTTCTCTTACATGTTTATCTAATAAGTATCAAGCATATTTCTATACACTTCCATTAGACTTTTTTTCTAAATCTGTCATGTTCACATTTTTGTTTTTTGTCTTTGTGCTTTGCAGTGCTGTCTTTCCTTTCTGTATCACAATGACATGATCTGTCAAGAGATTACAGTACAAACAGTAAAAGCGTAAATGTGAATGCACTTACTGTTTCACAAATGTCGAGGATGATTCGAGAAATGTACCAAAGCGACTGAGAAAAACTGTATTGTAAATTGTAGGTTACACACCTTAGTGTGTGTGGGAGTTTGATTGCAAGAGACTGGACAAGATTCACATTTACACTTTTACTGTTTGTACTGTAATGTGTTGACAGACCATGTCACTGCGATACAGAAAGGAAAGGCAGCATAAAGAAAACAAAAACAAATAAATTGATCATTAGAGCAGAGATCTACTGGATTGACAGCGGCTGATTAAATCAGTAACATACTCAGGTGCTAGGCCATGCAGAGACTTAAAAACATACAACAACGCTTTGTATTGAACTCTGTATCGTATGTATGGGTAACCAATGTAGTTTAATTAACACCGGAGTAATGTGCTCTCTCTTCTTAGTACCCGTTAAAAGCCTGGCAGCTGAGTTCTGAACGAGCTGCAAACGGGAGAGAGAGACCTGACTCACACCCAGATACAACACATTACAATAATACAAACGAGATGACACAAAGGCATGAACAACCTTCTCCATATCGTCAAAGTAAAGGATAGATTTCAATTTAGATGTTGATCTAAGATGGAAGAAACTATTCTTAACGACAGCATTGATTTGACGATCGAATTTAAGCTCAGAGTCAAAAATGACACCAAGGTTCCTCACGCTAGACAGTTTTTTCCCGAGAAACAACCCCAGGCAGTCATCATCCACACACCCCTTATTTCCAAATAAAATCATCTCTGTCTTATCCTCGTTTAATTGGAGAAAGTTATTCGCAAGCCAACACTTAACTTCAGCCAAACATGCATGAAGAGACTGAATGGCACAGTTATGGCCATATTTCAGTGGTAAATAAATTTGAGAATCATCTGCATACAGATTAGCCTGGCATGCCAGACCTACATCAAGATGTTAGGTCTGGGAACTCATCATTGACAGGGCTCAATCTGATGGGCGGGATAAACGGTTGTCTTTCAAATTCTCTCAGCACGCAATTGGATAGCGCTACAACCAATCAGAGCAACGAAGAAGGGGACGTAGTCAGCGGAGCAAGTTGATATATTAAACTTTTACCGTATCCAGTCCATAGCTGTCAACATTGAACATTGAAAATAAGGGAGATTTCCAGGAATCCATCCCCAAAATAAGGGATTTTTTTTTGTTTTTTACACGACCCACTAACTTTAAAAATAAAACACTAATCATTAAAAGTCTAAAGAGTTTATAACTAGCCTATGTGTGAGAGAGAAAGAGACAGTGTGTGTGTGTGTGTGTGTGTGTGTGTGTGTGTGTGTGTGTGTGTGTGTGTGTGTGTGTGTGTGTGTGTGTGAGAGAGAGAAAGAGTCATTAAAACATTTTTTGTCATTAAAATAATAATATCATAGAGAATGTTTAAATACTAATATCAGCTTACGAGGGAAACGGAGGCGGAGTAGTGGTGCTTCGGAGTGCTGGAGATGATTCGGAGGTCCTTTACCGATCAGAGCGCGCGCTGACACGGAGTAAATAAAGCCTTTATTCTCGACGCGTCCGCACGAGTGCAGCAAAAATGACAAGTTGATCGTTTCGCCACAGCTTTTTTGTAACAGCGCGCGCGGCGCCGCATCCGAGGATGAATGACTTCAAACCGAATATGTCCGAGCTTGCTCTGACCGTCGCAACTCTGCCGTCATTGTGTTAAGCCCGCCCACCAACTCTATACACGATGTGATTGGCCTGACCAGTTTTTGGTTTTTCCAGCTAAAACGTCTATGGAGAGTTGCTAGACCACACTGGCAGCGAAATGATTTTTGCTGCCGCTAGGGTGCGTCTAGATTTCTAGGCTACATACAGATGATACTGAATCCCAAATTTCTCAAAAATCGAACCTAGAGGGAGCATATAAAGGGAAAATAAAATTGGCCCCAGTATAGAGCCCTGTGGAACCCCACACACAAGAGGGGCAACGGAGAAAAGTAATTCCCTAAACTGACTGAAAAAGTCCTATCCTTCAAATAGGAAGAGAACCATTTCAGGGCTAAGCCCTGAATACCAACCTGATCCCTAAGACGATCAATGAGAATGTTATGATCAACTGTATCAAATGCCGCTGTAAGATCTAACAAAAGCAAAACAACACGATTTCCAGAATCAACACCTCGTAGGATATCATTAGAGACCCTCAGAAGAGCAGATTCTGTACTATGACCAGCTCTAAAACCTGACTGGAATCTATCGAAAATGTTATTTCTCATTAAAAAGGCATTAAGTTGTGCATTCACAATTTTTTCCAGTATCTTAGAAATAAAAGGCCATTTTGAAATCGGACGAAAACTACTCATGTCAAAGGGGTCTAAGCCTTTTTTTTCAAAGGGGCTCAATAACCGCATGCTTAAAACTAACCGGAACAACACCAGATGACAGACTAGTATTCATAATAGACAGAATACTTGGGCCAATTGAATCAAGTACCTTCTTAAACAGAGAAGAAGGGAGCACATCACCAGGAGACCTGGTGGGCTTCATATGAGCAGTTATATCATTAAGCTGCTGCAAAGAAACAGGTATAAAACTGTTTAATTGGTTTGTAGGGTCAACCGAAGCAATAAAATTGTTGCCAACAGATGAAATCTGAGATCTAATTCCATCAACCTTACCAATAAAAAAGTTTAAGAACTCTTCACACTAGTGTTGTCACGATACCAAAATTATTGTTTCGATACCAATACCAAGTCAAGAATTGCGATTTCGATACTTTTTCGATACTTTTCCTGAAAAGGGAGAAACACTCAAATATCATTGCTGTGCTTTATTTTAAAACTGGGACAACATTCTAATCATATAACACACTAATAAATGAACATATGAACAGCATATAGGCTATATTAACCATTTGAACAAAATATGAAATATGAAAAATATAAAAAATAAATTAGAGCAATGACATTCAAGGTAAAAAAATAAATAAATATAGCAGCATTATCTCAGTTATCATAAGAAACATAAGATTTTATCAATATCAATGCCACTGACAATTCTGCTTATCGATCCGATTCTTTAACGATTCCTGATAGCACTGTGTGGAAAAAAGTAGTCGGGGGGGGGGGGTTATTTGTTTTAAAAACTTACACTTGAGTATGCAAACTGTAGCCTACTTTTTATGTAATTTATGAAACCTTATTACAAAGTGTTAGCGATTAGTTATACACCGATTCAGACAGATCAGTTGTTTTAACCATTCATTAAAACGAATCGGTTCAAATGAGTCATTAGTTCGCGAATTGGATGTGTCATTATCGGACGTGTGCGCGTTGTGTGATTATCCCGGCGGTTAGGACATCCCACAAGATTTGTGTCATCACAGAAAACATTTCATGACTGGATAGTTTTTTTCGTTTATTTAAAGTGTGGTTTATGTCAGCTGAATGTGCGGAACGCTTTTCAGAGAAGATAAGGCAACGTATTTTACCACAATTTACTCCTAGCGGTAATTCAGGAAAACATTTTTTTAATTAATTTGATTAATATGTGCGAGGGAGAGAGAGAGAGAGAGAGAGCAAGACAGCGCTTAGTTTAGAGACGGTGAAGCCTTGTTTATACTTTCGCTTGGCTACGCAGAGAGAGAGTGCGCGCGCGCGACCGGGGCTCTCTCGCTCTCTCGCTCTCTCTCTCTCTCTCTCTCTCTCTCTCTCTCTGCTCGTTCAGTTTACGCGCCCTGTCACACGCGCATGAGGAGAAAAACACAGACGTCCATAGGGAGGCACTGGAAGCGTGCGTTGCACACACCAACATGCAATACTCTCTTACAAATCTGGAACGCGGTCATTCTTAGAAGTATCGATACTAATAAATTTAGGTATCGTGAAGTTTTTAATTTCCGAGTATCGCGATACTTTTGAAGTATCGGTGCACCGTGCAACACTACTTCACACATGTCAGCAGAAGGAGTGAATGAAGGAACTAATGCCTAATGTTGTGGGCGATGAGGCTATTCATCAGACCCATTATAATACATGTTGATCAACATGACATAAGCAGCTGATAATGTAGGAAACAGCAGAGAATTGCACGTAATCATTTGCATGGATGTACCAAAGCATTTGCAACTTGTTCAAAGAAGTGAGAAACTGCTTTTTTGATGTGCACAAGTGACTGATGATGTGAAGATTGAACGGGTAGTTTTAAGAATTTCAATTCTGATCTGAGAAATGTACCAAAGCGACTGAGAAAACCTGTAATAGTAATTTAAAAGATAGATTAATGAGCCGCATATGTGTTTTCTCCTCATCTGAAACTCAGGTTTCGCTGCATCGTTTACCCGTTCAAGCCCAAACTCACGCTCTTTGTCGCGAAGGTGTCGATTGGGACGATCTGGGTGCTTGCGCTCACCATTATGTTTCCCTCAGCGTTAATGTTGACTGTCGAGGAAGAAAAAAACCATTTCCTGGTTCACAGTGACAACCACAACCGCACGTACCCGCTGTACTCCTGCTACGAGACCTGGCCCGACCCCGAGATGAGGAAGGTGTACACGACGGTCCTGTTCGTGCACATATACGTGATTCCCCTCGCGCTAATCATGCTAATGTACGGCCGTATCGGGGCGAAACTGTACGGCACAACCGTCCTTTCCAGCGCCGAGCCTGAAATTCCTTCACAGGCGAAATGTCCCGCGTCTCAACGCAAGATTCGAGTGATAAAGATGCTAATAGTGGTTGCCTTGCTGTTCATGCTATCATGGCTGCCGCTGTGGACGCTAATGCTACTGACTGATTACGCTCGTCCAGACGAGGTCAATCTGGAGCTTCTAACAAGCTATGTTTTCCCTATCTCTCATTGGCTAGCGTTCTCCAATTCCAGCGTCAATCCCATTATCTACGGCTACTTCAACGAGAACTTTAAGAGAGGCTTTCAAGCCGCGTGTCAGAAGCACGCTTGTTTCCGTAGCCGAAGGAAACGGCGATTTAGCGTTAAACAGCCCAGGGTTGGAAGTCAGGGTTGTAGCCCGTTGAACACGGGTGCTAGCGGAAAACCGCTCGGTTTGGGAACACGGACAAACCAGATCTTCACCGAGAGCGATCTCACCGGATGCGTTCGCCTGGAGCTCGAGCATCGGAGCGTTTCAGGAGACGACAAAGCCGAAGGTGGAAGTGGCGCCGTGTCTGTTAAAAGAAAAAGCCACTTCCAAGATATTGAGAAAGCAGGAGGTAAAATATATAATGCCTGGGAGCTTTGAAAACAAATACAAAAAAACAAACCGTGTCGGACCCAAACTGTGCAGTGATCTCCCTCTTTCTGTTGGGTCAGTGAAGTCATACCGAAATTTAAGGCCATGTTAAAGGGGTCATATAATGGTACATACACTTTTACAAGTTGATTGTACTGAAATGTGTGTTGGCAGTGCCTGTACACAACCATCATATAATGATACAAATCCATCCAGTGTTTTTGTTTTAATCTCCTTATGTTTCCCCTGCCTCAAATCGAGCCGTTCGATTTTGTGACGTCACACGGTCGGAAGCCCCTCCCACGAGTGTTGATTGACAGCAGCGTTTCAACACAGACCCGCCCTCGCTTGTGAGCGAGCTGTCAATCATAATCCGCCATTGTTGATACACTGGAGCAGAATGGCGTCTAAGCGATTGTGGTGTTCTGTTCTTGGGTGTAATAACGAACACAGTCATTTTAATGTTCCTAAACCCGAACCGCTTAGTTTAGTTTTCGAAGGGGATATTCCCCACGAGCAACGTCAATGCGTTCATGTTTGCGTGAATCATTTCTCACCGGACTGCTTTATAAAAGAGGCTCAGTAAAGCTGGTTTTGCTAAGAAGCTGCTCCTGAAAAAAGAATCGGTACCAGCTATTCATGTCCCTGCTGCACCTCCAGAAGAAGTGAGTGTAAAGTGTTATTAACCTTTATAAAACGGTTAGTTCCAATCCTTGATTCTGATTGGTCAATAGCTGTGCTTTATTCACGATAAAACACGGCTATGACCGCTTCACCCAACGGTTCTATGTATCACTACACAACACCCCTAGCAACCACTCTTAGCAACTTAAACAGATGTTTCATCTCATTGATATTGTTCATTTAAAGCTAGAGCAGAGCATTGTGAGAGATCGAGTAAGCGAGTGTACCTGCATTTACAGTAGACGTAGCATTTTCCTTCAGGTCAGTCCTATATTCATAATAAAAAAATGCGTTTGAATGTCCGCTGCATATTTTGTCCTTTTAACAGTCATGGGGTTTTCCGTGCATAACGTTAGTCATCTGTCAGTTGCGTCTGTCTTCTCCGTGATCACAAGTTCGAGTCCTTTCAAAAGCCTTCTCTACAGACTCACTCACTCACTCACTCATAAAGACAGTCTTTGCCGCCATCTATTGGCGAAATAATATATGTAACTTCTGTTGCTGTTCACGTTCCGGGACTATTTTTTCCAGCGGAAGGCAGGCTTTTAGTGATTTTACTTCATGAAAGTTGCATAGATACATATTTTTCGGCTTTAATATTTTTATTGTGTGGCAACCGTTTTATAAAAGCAATAAGGTACTCGAGGCAAGTGCTGTATCGTGAATAAGTAACGGCTGAAGGGGTTGCAGGCACTCCGCTTCGCGTCGTGCCTAACAACGCCCTCCAGCCGTTACTTATTCACGATACAGCACAGCCTCTCGTACCTTATTGCTTACTTATATTAATCTTTGCAAATAACAAAAAAAAGTTGTTCATGACCATTAGCTGTAACGTCAATCTGTCAACAAACTAACCCATACATCAGTAAACTCAGCGTTCGGATCTCACTACTCTACCCAAACTGTCGAACTTCTTTGGGCCGTCATCTTGTTCCCGGTGCGACTCCGGTTCAAACTGATACGGTTGCACAGATGTGTCCTCAGAGACTCCCGCTGCCATTCTCTCTCCAAAATATCCCCTCAACTGTTGTCAAGGCAACACTCCACGTGCCCGCAGAACAGAGGGGCGGAGTCAGCGAAGCTCATTATCATTTAAAGGCACATGCACTGAAACGGCGTGCTGAAAACAGAGCTGTTTTTGACCAGGTGAAATTAGTGTTTTCTTACAATACTAATGAGAGTTTTTAATAAAAGTATATTACAATGTTTTCATTTAGACCCTAAACATTCATATTAACTTGTACAAAAATGGCATTATATGACCCCTTTAAAAGCACATCTTTTAAACACTTCCTGGGCATCTTCATGATGGGTGTTTGATCATTACCTTTTCTATGTTGTGTGCGTTTCTTGTCAGGGCTGCCAACGCTAACGCATCCGACACTTTTCACACGCTCTCACGACACGCATTTTCTAACGCACAGAAAAATCGCGAAGCACGTTGGACACGGAGACCGACAGACACGACAGAGCAGGATACTGATGATATAAAAAACCAGCTCTCAGATTCTGTCAATTCTATTACGAAATTCAAACAATAAATACCGGTTTGGCGCTTGTACATGTGACGTGACGGAGCCCTAGCGGCACGTGAACCGATCATCTCGACTAGCTAATAGTGAACAATCACGAATGAGCAATGTTCGTGTTTAAATGTTTTTATTTGATATTTCAGCAATAGATCAACTACACTTTATTTTATACAAACAAATAAAACTTACATCCTTGACTTTTAGTTGCTTATTTCTATTGTCCTGTACTGCATTTTATTATATCTTCTCCTCTGTACAGCACTTTGGTCGGCCTTGGCTGTTTTTAAATGTGCTTTATAAATAAATATTGTATTGTACATCCTAACAAATATGTATGTAAAAATGTAATAAAAAAATAAAATCCAAACCCACCCAAAAACTCAACCTAAAAGTGCTATCCAGTGGTAAAAGCCGGAGATGAAGGCATAGTAAACATTAATCACTAGCTTGCAGAAAAGAAATAAAAGGTGACCAAATTTTTTTAGAGCACACCTTCTTCTTTCTAAATGTAGTGTACCAGTCACCTCTGTCAGCCATAGTTTAATCGTTTTACTTCCTTTTTCTTCCAAAACAAAAGAATACGTTTTTTAGCATATGAAACAAAATGTTGTTGTACCAGTGTAAGTCTCAAAAACTCTTCAGAAACTCCAAATATAATTAATATAGGATCTGGTTCAGATCGTTTGTCCAATGTATCTGAAAAATCTTATTCCAGAAACTCTAATTTGACATTTGTCACATAATGGAGTCACTTCTGGAAATATTTTGTTCAGTTTACACTTGGAATAATGAAGCCTATGAAGCACACGAATGAACAAAGTACAACTTACCGAAATGTATATTCCTCATACATAATATCGATCAATCAGTGTTTTTCAACCACGGAAAGAGGTCAATAAAACAGCTGGAGAACAATTATGTCAGAACATTTACCTCAGGAAAGCCATTTAATGACTATAATAGCACGTTATTGGCTAGAAAAAAGAGCTATAGAGAGTATTGTGCTAAATATGTGTACTATATTACATATTTATTATTTATTTATTTATATCATTTAAAAAAGTTGTTATTATAATAAAAAACACATTATATTTAATATAAAAAATATGCATATATTTATATATTAAATATAGGCTATATATACGCTCTCTGTATGATTACAGCATAATCAATCAATCAATTTTATTTATATATAGCACACTTAAAACAACCAACGTTGACCAAGGTGCTTCACAGGTTAAATACAACAACAGGACACTACTCACACAATAAAAGTACAATAAAACATTTATAATGTACAGTATACGATATATAGTGATATTAAAATTACCAGGAAAATAGGTTTTTTTTTTTCTTGAGAAAATTTTATGCCTATCTTGTGTACCTATTATGTATCCAAATGAGTCAATATTGAATCAAATCACAATAATTGAATTGAATTGAAAGCGTGAAACACATGCTCCAAGCTAACCTCAACAGTTGGCAGCCCTGTCTTTCGCTTTTTTAATTGCTCTGTCTGTACTCTTATTTTTGTGTTTTTAGTGATTGTGAAGCAAATGTGCTATATAAATAAATAAATGAAATGAAATGATTGACAGACACGGCAGTGGATTATAAACAGTGGACGTCTACATTAATCCGGATACATTTAAAAACGCATCTCTACGTTTTGGCCTTCCGTCTACACTGAAAAATAGCCTGAAAAAATTATTCTCGGTACAATCTCTGTGAGCTTTTGTGTTTACTAGCGCTGTCAAAATGGCTGGAAAGCTCAATTTAAATTTCTTTCTTAAATATTAGCAAAATTTGAATTATATTCGAATTCTAAAGGCAATACTTGATGTTAGAGGGAAAAAAGTACTGTATTGTCTCCTGTGTCCACAAGAGGGCGCAATATAAACCAAATCAAGCACCGCATCATTTATTGAAATTAAAATGAGATTTAATTTTTAAAGTGCATTAACATTTGAAACAATTGTTCTTAAATAAAGTATAATTTCCTTAATGTGCAAATTTTTTAAAATTCAACGAGTATTCAAATTTTTATTTGACAGCCCTATTGTGGACGGAGAGCATTTTATAATGGAAACGCTTCTTTTAAATTTATCCAGATTGATTTAGAGAGCCTCCTTTTTTTAACGAAATGGAGTAAATATTGTGTAAAATAAGTGATATTTTCATTAAAATGTATGTATTAGCAGTTTAGCAACCATTAGACTGTAAATATCAGTATTTGCATCAGACATTGATAAATATCAGGTGTTTGTCTGTGGAAAAACATTATTAATAGTACTGTTCAAAAGTCTTTGAAAGTCGCTTCTGCTCAAGATTGTATTTATTTGATCAAAAATACAGTGAAAAAAATATTATTACAATGTAAAACCGCTGTTTTCTATGTGAATAGTAAAGTGTAATTTATTCCTGTGATCAAAGCTGAATGTTCAGCATCATTACTCCAGTCTTCAGTGTCACATGATCCTAATATGATGATTTGATGCTCAAGAAACATTTATGATGTTGAAAACAGTTCATATTTTTGTAGAAATTGTGAACACTTTATTTTTCAGGATTCTTTGATGAATAGAAAGTTCAAAAGAACTGATTTTATTTGAAATAGAAACTTTTGTAACATTATAAATGCCTTTACTGTCACTTTTGATCAATTTAATGTGTGCTTGCTGAATAACAATATTAATTTCGGACCCCTAACTTTTGAATGGTAGTGTAGTGTACTGTCAAAAGTAGTCAGTGATCACATTTTTTATATATATATATATATGTGTGTGTTTCAGTTTGTAACTGGTGTTGTGTGTGTATATATAGTATAAAA